TACTTTTAAATAATATTTTGCACACAGCCTTTTATCTATCAACGTGTTTCTAAAACAGTAAATATCTATTCACAACAGAGTCTGTGTGTCTATGTGTTATCTCTCTCAAGATGCAAGACATCTGATACTTTGTGATGTAAGCTTTCAAAACTTTTCAGCGCACGAACGACGAGGCATGTCATGTAATTGTGCTCCTATATGTATTGGCCTGACAGGGTCTGATGGTTAGGGTGCTGGACTCGCAATCTGAGGATCGCGGGTTCGAATCCCGTCACCAAACATTCCCGTCCTTTCAGCCGTGGGGACATTATAATGTGAGGGTCACTCCCATTATTCGTTGGTAAGAGAGTAGCCCAAGAGTTGGCGATAGGTGGTGATGACTAGTTGCCTTCCCTCTAGTCTTTCACTGCTAAATTAGGGACGGCTAGCGCAGATAGCCCTCGAGTAGTTTTGCACGACATTCAAAACAAACAAACTTATGCGCATATGAGCTAAACGAATAGATGAGAGACACCTAGGATTTAAGTATGGACAACCTCTAAGTTTCTAACCAGAGGGAAGACAGCTAGCCAGCAGCACTCGCCACTGACAGGGTTTTGCCAGGATCTTTAAGCTAAATAACTGGACTGACGAAAGTTAAGAGAGTGTCATTAAGTCTCGAACCCTGGACCCTTCGATTCGCAGCCAAACCTACATGAGGGAGAAATAACAGTGGCACCCAGCAATAACGATGATAGCCCTCGTGTAGCTTTGCATGAAATTAAAAACAAACCAAACCTATACGCGTACGTGCCTGTGCAACAAATTTTTGCACAATGGAAATCTTTGATAATACATATTATTGAACCTGATGAAATTTCGATTTAAAGTTTTTCGTATAAACATGCTGTTTCATTTATTCTTTTGTAAGTTTTTACTTGGATATGTTTCAAGAAAGTTAAAGAAGTTAAAACCCAATTTGACATTTTTTATCTTTCATATAGACTCTGGTGATAGTTTGTTGAACTATGACATAATGGCCGCCTGTCATGGCGGCCTAGCAACGTGTCCCCAGCGGCGCACCCTCTTTTAGCAACTTTTGGAAGTATGACGTCTTCATTTTTGATGATATCACCCCCTTACCTGAGGCAGCTAATCAGTGTGAAGCAAAACCAAATTGTTCACATGCTTCTGACCTTTGACCTACAAGTTCATTATTTCCTTTCAACAAACTGTTTCGTAAATGTTAAAAAATATCATTAATATTAATGGTCTTTTTTATAAAACTTATTTAGGGTTTTGTTCAATTTCTTATATAAATGTATGAAACAAACCATTAGGTACCATCATGGCCCTCACGATCACCTGTGCTAACAGATCGAAACGCCCTCTACATTGCAAAGCATGTTCGTGGACAAAGCCCGTTAAACTTTCGAAAATGAGCCACATTTCTCAGTTTAAGGGTTTTTTTTAAAACTAAAATGTTTTAATAGTTGGAAATACCCGTTCCTTTTAGCAAACTTTTTAGTTTTTTTAGCCAACCCGTCAATAGTATTTACACATGCACAGCTTATAACATACGCTAGGATTTCCTTATTATATATGTATATAGTAAAATGCTACTTTAAATAAAAATCCAGTTAATGGCTTGAAGTTACTTTTTCACTAATTATTTTAACTCATGTTCTTGTACAGTTGCTTCTGAAAGTAAGCACTGCTAATAACGGAACATGAAAATGCTCTAATGTATGTAGATAGACACAACTACAAGACGCAACATGCATATATTAAGTATCCCTCGCAAACCTCTCCGCCACGATAAATGTTTTACATTAAAATGCCAGTTCATTTCTAGAAACCCCTCCCTTTTAAAGTGCATATTAATCTACAGACTTAACCAATTATGGCCGTTATATATCATAAATACATCGATAACACACACGCCAGCGACTTTCCGATCAATATAATGCATTAACAAGGCTTTTAACTGAGTTTATTAAAGTAATGGGACTTTTAGGATATCGTATTAGCTATATACATATATATATATATACGTTTCTATTTTTCACGGACTAAATTAATGGGTACTGCAGGAGTAGGAAAATAAATTAATTAACCAAGTAATATTATCTTTCTATTTGTCTGTCTGTTTTTCTCTCTGTTTACTTTCCTCCTCTCTTTCTATCTGCTTGTCTGCCTGTCTGTCTTTCTGCCGATATATGTTTCTATACTTGTCTATTTTTCGCTGTAAAAGAATCCTATCTAATAAGCGCCGTTAAAGTGTAACATTTTAATTTGCATTACAGTAAATTTAAATAACCAAAAAAAAACGGGAACTTTTCATAATACAAATTACAATAGGTCAAAATTATGGCAACAAAAAATTAATTTTAGCCACTCGTTTCTTCGCTATATCGTAAGTGCAATGGTAATTTGGGTGGCTACAGTTAAGTAACATTTGTCATTCACAAAATCGTATGTTATATTATTTCACCTTGGGTGTTTGTGGATTTATTTGTTTGTCCGAAACCCCGCCCACAATTCTGAAGCTAGGAGGATTAAATTTGTCAGCCGAACTCGGGGTATCCGGGGGGGGGGGGTTTCTTATCTATATGGCGTAGCCCCCTACCAAGGGGAGTGGCTAAAAGACGCCCTAAAGGTCGTCAATGCATGATAGGGGCCTAAGAGTAGGATTAGAGACGCTGAACCAGAATATGGCATCATATTTTGTGTTATTGACCACCCTCGGGATCCTGAGGGTGCCATGTTTGAAACAGTGTCCTTACCCTCACTCACAAGCTAGATACAAGTTCAAGTACAACGAGCGAATGTCTGTAATGGATTACTTTTCGGATACAGAAATATCTTGAGGCAACAATAAAAATAGTGGTGGAGCTTAATCGGTACACTGGAGTCTTTGTGAATGATGAAGGGTCCTTTGGACTCCGCAGAATATCGAAGTGGTAGACTAGAGAGAAGGCAAATAGTGAACACCATTCACCGCCAAATCTTGGGCTACTCTTGTCAAATCGAACAGATAGATCTGACCATCACTCTTATAACGAACCCACGGCTCCATATAATAATAACAACTCGTCGTAACTCATAATAGGATCTGTGAATCGCGAGTACTGAGTCATATAATGTGTAAATGAAACATCATGCGAGTACTGAGTCATATAAAGTGTGAATGAAACATTTCACGAGTATTGAGTCATATAATGTGTGAACGAAACATTTCGCGAGTATTGAGTCATTTAATGTGTGAATGAAACATTTCGCAAGTAAAAGTCTAAGTCTAAAATACACACAATAACTTGTGCTCTTCTTAAATCCCCACTAGTAGCATTTCTGGTCTAAAACTCACGAAACGTGACTATAATGTGAAATATGTATTAACAATGCCTTATAACTATTCTGAATTTAAAGCTCAGATTCCTAGATCGTAAAATAAATAACATATATATATCTATAAAGTCGCCCCCATCCCCCAGTAGCACAGCAGTATGTATGCGGACTTACAACGCTAGAAACGGGATTTCAATACCCATGGTGGGCTGAGTACAGATAGCCCATCGTGCATCTTTGTGCTTAATTACAAACAAACAAGTCTATAAAGTCCAGGCACATAAGTTAAATCGTAAACTTTTTTTTTTCAGATGTAATACTGTTTCCATTCATGCCTAGTATATGCTTAAGATGTTTTCATCCCCCCCCCCCCGGTAGCTCAGTGATAAGTCTGTTTGTTTGTTTGTACTTAAGCACAAAGCTACACAATGTGCTATCTATGCTCTGCCCACCACGGGTATCGAAACCCGGATTCAAGCGTTGTAAGTCCGCAGACGTACCGCTGTGCCACTGGGGAGGGGGGCTGATAAATCTGAGGTCTTATATCGATAAAACTCGGGTTTAGATATCGGCGGTGTGCAGAGCACATATAATCTACTAAGAAGTTTTTCGCTTAACAACAAACAGTTCAGTGTTATAATTTATGAAAAAAAATGAAGCAATTAGAAATACTATTTTATAGTTTTAAAAGGAAAGTTTTCTTCTTTTAGGCACTAAACTAAATGATAGGATACCTGCGCTTTTTCCACCGTGGGTCTCGGAGAATAATGTTTGCGTTATAAGCCCTCAAAGTTACCGCTGAGCCACCGGCGGGCTTAAAACAACGATATTGAGGATAAGAAAGCTATAATGCTACAGCCTATTCTATGTAAACATATTAACAACAAGCACGAAAATAAATTTGGGTCTTCGATCATTAATATAAATATCTCCAAATTTCACACGAACGTAACTGACTCTTTGTTATATCTTTATATAAATTACATTTACAACATGGTGCTATTTTATATCCCTCTTGAAATTATTGAAATGTATAATTATTTAGGCCTGGCGGCTATGGCACTCGACTCACAATCTACGAGGTCGAATCCCGTCACCGAACATGCTCGCTATTTCAGCCATGGGGACGTTATTATGTTACGGTCAATTCTACTATTCATTGGCGGTGGGTGGTGTTGACTAGCAGTCTTCAGTCTAATCTATCACTTCAAAATTAGAGATAACTAGCGCAGATAGCTCTAGTAGTTTTGTGCGAAATTCAACAAACAAATATACATAATAATATTTATACATAGCTTTTGTGAAATCAAGATAATTAACTCAAAATAATAAATGGATGCACTGGTTTGGATAGTTTTTTCTGGACATCTGTGCTAAGCACCACAATTTTTGTATCGTGTTTTTTCAATTACTCTTTGCTCAAATTTACATTTTTTTTTTGCCACCAATGTAACACCGTAATGACAAAATACTGTCAAGTCTGTTTTCCATCATGACCGATTTTCACTGTTACATTAGTTTAAGTTTCTTTGTTAACATTAAATTATAACCGTCTGGATATACGGAAGTCTTTATTCATTTTTGATAAAGGGCTAAGTGAATTAGGGGCTAACAATTTAATAAGCCACACACTTTTTCAGCTTTTAATATTTCGATAATTGACTTCTGCTTACCTGACGTAATCATTTTTACAAAGAATCATTCCAGCTTTGGTAAAACAAGAGCTACCTATGTCTGCCAGTGTCGCTTGGCAACACGAACACTTCAAACAGCCAGTGTGCCAATACCTATCCAAGGCGTGTAAAAGGAAACGGTCCAAAATTTTGCCACCACATCCAGCACAGCTACGTCCTGTTGTAGTTCCTGACGTCGGCAGGGAGTGTTGATGATGAGGACCACTGTGATGAGGGGGATGGGGTTGAGAATGCATGCGAGCCATAGATCCTCCACCCTGTGGATTGTGAGGATTCATCATACCCATCATTTGACCTCCAGGATCCCCATTCTGTCCTACAGTATTCATAGTTCAAATACTATTGAAGAAATATACAACTTCAACGTCTAGAACGGTGGCATTTTAACTCTAAGAAAGAAAACTAGGATTTCGCTGTTTTTTCGGCCAGAATTTTTAAAAGCCAATACAGTTAAAAGTTAATTTCAAAAAGTCTCACATTTTTCTCAACTGTTGTAATACGAACAACCACAGGTGTCGACATTGATGTCTCATTCGCAAAACCTAAAATAAAATAACAAACATGATTAAAAGTTTTAATCTCATTACAAATTTTCTATTATAATTAAACAAATCTACATGCTTCTATCTCAAAGATATTAAACTTACCAAATATTACCTTTAATTTGAAACCAAGGTTAAAGATATCAAACTGAGGTCTACTAACTGTAGTTGATTTAACACTTCAAATCGCACAAATCCATTAAAACAGACTCATGAAAACAGCTCAACTTCGTATTAAACATAAATTGTATTACTAATAGTGGATTTATCACGAGAAAGTTTTTAAACATCTATAACATTCAAACTGAAGAATGACAACTTCAATATCTGCGTACAGTATACAGGAAAGACTGCTCACGTCCTACGGTAACAATGTATATATCAGTCGCCATGTTCTTACAGTATACAGGAAAGACTGTTCACGTCCTACGATAACAATGTATATATCAGTCGCCATGTTCTTACAGTATACAGGAA